GGTATAGAAGGTTCCAAAAATCTCTACCGTGGGATATGTTTTGCTTTGGTCGTAACTGATTTAAATGTTGATTAAGCAATTTTCACTCGACTTACTGCCTCTAAATCTTACCTTAAATAATTTAATAGCTTCTGGTTGCATGGCTTCCGAGTGTAGCGAGGTAAGCGGTGATGTGATGGCGTCTTTGGTATGCAATAATATTGGATGGCGCCATAGAACACAATCTATAAGAAAATTATGTGAATATCATTTAGAAAAGAGGTGTGAAAGCTGTTGTTGTATGAGTAGTATTCCTCAATAACTCGATTATCGTCGACGTCGGCTTGTTCTTTAAGTGGCGTAGGACGATGTGGAACACGTGAGAACTATTGACCAATCAAAAGTGGGTAGATTATTAAATTTAGAGCGAAGGGTCGATTTGACCTCTCAAGTCTATAAATCTTTCACAGCAACAATGGAAACGGTAGAAAATTTGACTTCGTGGACCGAAAAGATCTCGATAATTAGCCATAGGTCATCAAAGGAGGTGTTGGACGGAGCATATATTATCGAATCTAGGATTGAATGAGATACATATACCCATTTAAGCTGCGGAACCTATGTCCGAAGGGTGCTTAGTATACAGTAGTACTTTCAGGAAGAATCGGGCGAGACAAAACACAACGCCTAAACGCCGAAACTGGAACTGTTGAAATTGCTGACAGTTACGTCTTATAGCTTCAGACATTTTCCTACAAAGGGCTGGGAGATGCACTTGGCTATGACGGCCTCAGATCTGTTGTATTCGCTGGAAACCGCCAACAGCTACTGTCTGTGACCGTTCATGACAGAGTTACCAGATTGTTGATACTTAAATTATGTTACCATATGATGTACATACCAATAATCTATGTATATAAAAATTGTTGCCTAAGATATATAAATTTTAAATTAGAGTCGATGGTGAAACGTGCTCTCAGGCTCTTTATCTGTGCATTCATTTCTAGATAAAAAGTGTAGTCTGTAGAAAAAAGGCTCTCAGACCAGGCACTGAGTGGATGCTAGATGGTATAGGTCAAAGACTTTTTCACGGGTCACGGGTAGGGCGATCTTTGGACAACCAGCCTGAAACTTTGGTGCAGATTCTATTTGTGTCAATGAATGTCCTTTTCAATTGTTGCATTGATAAAATGGGTTAATGTAATGATCATTATCTTCACGGGTCCATGAAACTTGCACTTTCGACGGGTTGGTATAAAAGGAAAGGCTTTTAGAATAATAGTTTCCATAGAGACGAAGGTTTTTTTTTAATAAAAGCGGGACTATCCACTTAGTTCGTTATCATGGATATCACATGTATTTCTGACCAAGAACTGTCAGCAACAATATTGCCGAATCTACTACTCAGCGTGAGTCGGTGAAGATGTTAATCGTTTTAGGACGTTATAGTACTTCTTATTACAAACCGTCCTTGGAGACCTTTTACGAGATAGCCTCTTTATGCTAACTAACTACTCTTAGATATGATCTCAGAAAGCAATAGAGCTTTACCGGGTCCTGCGTGGGATATAAATAGGCTTTTAGACGGCTAATAGATTTTTAGGTTCGCCATAGCGTGGCCATTATGAGCACTAGAGTACTGAAAAGAAATATGTATGTAAATGAATCAATAAATACTCACTGGGATCTCCATCAGTCTCCATAAGTTTCTGTACGAGTTGCTCGTATTGTGTGCCCGCATTCGGTCCACCAGCCGACACCACAGTCAAATGGTATAACCAATTATCACGTTCCTGTTTGCCGGGTAATATAAGGTATGTAGGCCCTTGATGTGCAGGATAAATGGCGACGGTAAGACGTGCTTGGCTTTGTGTAGGATCTTCACGTTCCTCCGAATCGGAATCGGAAACATGTTCGACCTCTTCGACGCGCGCATCACGCATATTAATTTGACCGAGCGGATTCTAAGTAGAAAGCAGATGATGAATTTGAGATTACCTTAAAAAAATGCTTTCACTTACCGTTTCGCCCGGCGCCTTGAAGTAGAGGAACATTTTACCCAACAACACACACCAACACTTCTTCGCATGCCCATTCTTCACCTTAGTGACCCAACCCTGTACGGTGGGTTTCTGATCGTCACGACTCAGCAGCAGTTTGGTTGCATTGCGCCGCTGCACATTCTGCAGTACGCGTATCCAATCGTCCATCGTGGCATTCGAGTCGGCGGTGAGGTAGTAGACCTTCTTACCCGTATCAATCTCAAAAGTGGAAGCACCTTCAGCGCGATTTATGCGACACGCTTCGTCTAGCATTATCTGACCCTGCGGCTTGCGATTCACATCATGTTGACTCTTCCAATAGGTGAGTGTGCCATTCTTAAGCACGAACCAACGCTTGCGCCAAGTCTTCAATTTGCCACCGAGTTTGGCGAGGTGACCCATCTGCAGGCGAAGCGAGAGAATGAGTAAAAAGGGCGGCTAGTGAGAGGTGAGATAAAAAAAATTGAAGCAGCAACTTACCTTTTCCAGCGACTCGATCTTCTTGCTCGGCGAATCCACATAGGATTGTCGCATCAAAAGCGACGGCATAGAAGCATCCATGCACGTGGACTCGGACACCGCATCCGGTGGCAGAGCATAGTCATCCGATAGGCCTGATTCAAAGGAAATATCTGAAATTACTGTTCCACGCATGTGGGGGAGACGTAGATGATTGTTGGTAAACGTGTGTGAGTGGTTGTTGGTGCTGAAGTTGGTGGATTTAGCGGTGTTGTTGTTCTGAGTTTGTAAGGGTAGGGTTTGTGTATTGGTATAGGGACCCAAGTGATGTGTATGATTCGTTTGGTTGTATGAGTGCATTGTGTTGTAATGATTGTTGTGTTTGTTATTGGTGTAGGTGTTTGTGTTGGTGAGTTGTGCAGTGGATAGGTGCAGTTGGTGAGCTTCGAAAGAGAAATTTCCATACAAAAAGGTAAATGGTAAAATGAGAGCCAAATATTTTGAATTTCGTTTCGAGAGAGCGAGAGAAAGGTTAATGAATGGGGGCATTTAATGGGTGCATATAAAGAGAAAGTTATTAAAAAGTTCAATTTTATTTGCGAAGAATTTATTTTTAACTTTTTAAATGGAACTCTACGGGGTAAGAAATTAATCTGGATTAGTCTACGGGTTTTGATAAAGTGACAGGCACAATGCGCGCTTGAGTGGGAGTGGTGTAAATGGAATAGGGCTTGCGGAAACTGTTAGGGCGAGGAGGCAAGGAACAGCGCGGAATATAAAGGGAAAGGAAGATAAAGACTATGGTAGTGCTAAAAGCGAAGGGTGTTAAAAGCTAATGGTTACTGACGTGCAAAGTTAGGAGAGAAAAGACAAGAAAATGTGAGTACTTCTAATTCAATGATCGCTAAAAGAGAGCTTACTAAAAGGAGCTACTCAAAAAAAGATCTTCTGGGGTTTACATACACCGGCTAGTCTTTTGCGATACCAGATGAAATTCGAGCAGCTTTAAGTATCGTCAGTGCTATTTGAGTGTAGTTCACAATATTCCGAAAGATTTGGTAACACTATGTACGGGTAATTCATTCGCCTCTTGGATAATTCGTCGTCCAGTAAGTCAATGTACATAGGTTTTGACGTGGAACCATGAAAGGCTATGATCGTCGCGTTTCAAAAATTTAAGAAGCAGCTCATGGTTCGTTTGGACTTGAGATAGAATCTTCTTATTTCACACTGTAACTGCCTAAGCGAACAATTAGATTATGGAAGGCTACAAGGAAAATGTACCATCCTTTAGGCATGTACTGAGGATTGGGTATTACGTGCAACAATTATTACTGGAACCATGGTGGTACAAATCAATCGAAATCGGTTGAACACCTGATGTGTGGATGGCCCAACTTCTATTCCGCGAATCAATCTAACTATATACTTCACAGCGCTTTAACATGTAAAGATAAACTCTGCGATAATATTGAAAGCCCTGGCAGTCGATGATATTTGGGTTCCACTTTATTGGAGATATCGCAAATGTTTTCCACATGGTATATATTAGACTGATAATCGGATTCGATGATTCTTTCGGAACTGGGTTGTCTGGGTCTGCCTATTGACGCAGAAAACCATGCATGCTCCAAGGAAGACAAGATGAGTCAACACATTTCTAATGAAAATGTGGCTTAAACCAAATAGGTATTACTGCATTTCGACTGCGTAGACTCAAAAGTCCCTTGAAAATTGTTAATCAGGGGCATTTTCATATCATTCGGGTGCCTAGAGCGCGAGATATAGGAAGTTTTCTTGGTTGAAGTATCGTCCGAGTCAGAGAAGAATACTCTCTATTACCATCCTATGTTATTATCTTTTTACGATCGAAAAGTGGCACAATTCATAGAATTCGCTTAAAAAGACTTGAAAGATTTTTGACCAAGATACTACTGGGTTTGGTGGTTTCTAACGGACAAACTGGCTCGGGGAAGAAATAAATACTAAGATAGTTTTAACCTACTTAGAAACGACAAAGACTTACTGATGGCTCTACTATCTTAGCTAATGATAATAATTAATTTCTAAAAAGGGGAAAAGTGGGCGTGCATGTTGCGGTAGAGGAGTTTACGTATTTTGTTTTGGTTGTGGAATGGGTGTTTTATCTCGTGGAATCGACAGGCACAATCAACTACGCAGGCAGGCTACACACGCAAACTCATGCTGCAATACATACCACGCGCTTTCGTATTCTTAGGACTCTCTGAACCACTACGCTTGGCCGGACTTAAGCTCGACGACGTCTTCAAACTCTTCGAAGGACTCGAAGCACTACCCGAGGTCGATGTTTCCGTATTGTCAGTGCTCGATGAGTTGTGTGAATTGTGCGTTAGCATAACGGCATGATCCTCGCCATCGCTCGAATCATCGCTGGAGTCGCCCGTAAAGGGCATGGAACGTATTTGCGAAGCACGCTGAAGTCACATGCAATAATAAACGACAAATAATAGCCAAAAAATAGCAAACAGTAAAAAAACTCACCCCTTTGACGGTGGCATAAACGGGCACCGATATATCACAGAAACCTCCGCTTGCGGTCTGCTGCTGACGCGTCGGCAGCTGCGGCGTGCCGGGGGCGCCACTACCACCACCACCGTCACCGCTGCGCGCGCTACCCAAAGTGCCATTGTTCGCTGGCGTAGCACGCCCATGTCCGCCACCGTTCGCTAGCGTATTACACGCGCTATTGCTGCCTGCCGACGCTGCGCCGCTTGTGGACTCTTGTATATCGGGTGGCGGCTGTGGCTGTGTCTGCGTGTGGTGTGCGTCCTGCTGTTGATGGTGGTGGTGCTGGTGCTGCGCTAAGCTCTCCTCACTCACACCCGTCAGCCCATCGTTGGCCACTTGATAGATTTTCGCCTCCCAGCTGGGGAAGCGATGCAGTGGTGGCGTGGGTGGACGCGGTACGCCCAAATCACCGCTAGTTGTGGTTGTGGTGCTCGAATTGCCGCCGCTCGCCATCAATGCTGGATTGTTCTTCATCCAGGCGGGCAATTTCTCACATGAGGGTGTATAGATTTCCGCATAATCGTGCGCAGTGTCGGTGTCGGAACTATCGGGCCGCGTTGTAGCTGATTTGGTGATGCTCGCTAGTGGCGTGAGTGTTAAACCATCCACAGCGGCGACCAAATTACGCTCGAGCTCTTGCGGCTCCATGCTGAGATTGCGTCGATGCTGATGATGTGGATAGGAAGCGGTTAACGGCCGATTGATTATCTCTTGTGGATCTAAGCTTTCGCTGCGCCGTCGTCCCTCTGCGGTATCGGCGAACTCTTGCACATCCAAGCTTAGGCTATTGCGCACCGGATGTGGGCCGATGATGCTGTGCCGATTCGATTGATTGGCGATGTGATTCTTTAGCAATTCCAACTGTTGATTACACTTGACATTCTGTTCGCGTAGCAGCTGATTTTGTTCCTCGAGTTCACGTAGTTTATTGGTGACCCACTCCTTGATTTTGGCCGCCTTCGCTTCGACTTGACGCGCGTCGTGTAGACGTAATTGACGCTGCTCCTCGACTTGTATTTCCAATGAGGTTATAGTTTTCTCAGCTTCGTGGGTAGGAAGACTAGCTGTTTGTTGTGCGGCGAGCGCTGATTGTTGTTGCTGCTGTTGCAGTTGCTGTTGTTGGCTTTGATGGATGGGCGAGTTGGTGGCTGACTGTGGTGGTTTGGGCCATTCACTCAGCCGCTGTTCCATAGCCCGCACCTGGAAGAAGGAAGAAGTAGAAAAAAGGGTTTAGAAAATAAAGTCAGTTGTGCGGTTAGAGAGAAAAAAAGGGGAAAGCTCAAGATCTAAAATTATGACAATGAAGCCTGAATAAAGTTTAATAAACAGAAGATGTTTGAAAGCACTTTTATCTAACAAATTTGAATCAAACAGAATTTGGCCAACTTTTTTGTGTGTTCTATTTTGGAAATAAGGGACCAAATCAAATATCTCGGGCAGGAGAAGAGATAGCGAAATAAATGCAACGGGTTTTAAAAGCTTTTGAGATTGAAAATTCAAGGAAAATAGTCTCGTTAGATAGAAGTATTACCTTGTCCTTTGAAATGACCATCAGGAATATAGAGCATTAAAATTTTCTTAAGTTAACTTTGCTGCTTTTAGGTCTATAAAATACAAACAAATTTAAAAGTTTTACTTTTGAAGGCCGGTTTTGAGGCCAAGGAAGTTTTTCATAGAATCGGACATTTAAAATGGCCGTAAAAATGAAAATTTTCGATATTTGTTTTTGTCCTTTCTTTGAAAATAGAACAGTGTACGCCGTGTATTGGCTGTGAGGAGCTCAAGGGTATACATATGTATCTAATCATTTATATGTACTTTAAACTGTTAGATCCATTTTTTACATGACATTTTATTAAAAACTAGCAAATACCCAGCATGATTCACTGCGCTTTAAAAATATTTGTGTGTTGTTACTCCCTCGAAAAGCTCTTATGGCTTCATTAAAAAAAATAAAACAGATTTGAAGAGCTTTGTGAATTAAGATTTTCAAACAAATTGTCGATTTATGAAACATACTTTATTTTTTATGAATAAAGGTGTTAGCTAATATATTTTCGAAGGTGTTTATATTTTTATAACTAGATTCTGCATAAAGTGCGCATTCTTCAAAGGTGTATTAATTCTGTATTTACCTTATCTTATCACTTTAACTGAATACAATTTTTTAAATGGGTGGCAACCCGCTACAAAAATTTTTTCGGCAGTAAAATTTTTTAACATCTGTAGTTTGATACCCGTATTGTAATGTTTCATTTATTTTATCAATTTAGTAATCGAATAACATTTTTCAAACAGGTGGCAACCTTCATCAAAAAATTTTAGGCAGGAAACTTTCCTAAACTTATTTAGTTTGATATCCATATTGCAATATTTCGTTTAACTTATCAATTAAAACAAATTAAAATTTTCAAACAGGTGGCAACCTTCTCCAAAAATATTTTCCACTTTAAGCTTTCTTTAGCTTCTTACTTTCGACGGCGATATTGCAATATTTACTTATGTTATCAATGTACTTAAACTTCAATTATCAAACAGGTGGCAACTCTCTAATTGTTTTTCTTTCTATATTTTAGGTTAGACCTTTAGCAATACATCGCTGAAAACTGCATTCGATTCCATGCATTAGCTTTGAGTGATGCGCGTACAAACATACAGACAGACAAAAATTCTAAAAAGTTGTTGATTTGGATTCTGTTGCTTGAATAAAGACCCACCATATTAATTTTATCTTTATCTAAATTATTTTCATACAACTCCACACTAAAATTCGAATGAAAATGCTGGTGCCGCCATGGTTAGTGTTCATCGTCTATGCTTATTGAATAAATCATTTAATTTTCAAGTTTCCAAATCGAAACACTCATTTTGAAATGTTTTTCCTTCCGCCCACAAAACTCTTAGCTGATTTTTTTTTTCTTTTCTACCCCGTTGTGGTTGTCTGCAAAGTTTTTGTCACCAACACCGCTCACACCAACCGCTCACTTCTCAAAGCACAAAATATTTGAATATCGTCTAACACCAATTAATAGTTAACGATCCACAACCCATTTTGCTTTAAAGTTAATTTAATTGAAAAGTTTGAACCATTTCTTTGCCCGCGCCGAGCGTATAAATTTGTTTTGTGCCAAAGAAATACGCCCAGATCGAACTACTCGAAAAGGGGTTGGTTATCGCGCGTGGTAGAATACTTTGAAACTTGCCGCTTCGATTATTCAGAAGCAAGCAGTTTGTGGCGGAGGGTAAGTCGCTTCCGTCGTCTCGGTTGTAACGGTTTAAGCTTACAAACTTGCAAATCTATTATAGAGCAGAGTAAGTGGAGTCACCGCAACATTTTATGGCATGAAAGGCGAGACAATGCACCACACCAACACAGCTGTAGACGCATATCTTTAGTGTAAAATGGTGAAGTTCGAAGCACACGAGCAGACAACTTGGCGTGAAACTTAGCCATTTAAGCTTTTGTTTTTATTTCTTAAGCGGTTTAGTGCGCTATATGCAGTGCGAGGAATAGCTAAGATAAGCAGGAATGCTATCGCCTTTATGTATTGTGCAGCCTCTTACCTTCGCGATTGCTTTTTAGCACACAAAATCACGAACCGCGATTCACACATACGATAAATTAAGTTATCGTGTGCGAGCGTTATTTTAACAAGCGCCAAAGTGTGGGGTCAAGGTGAAGTTGCAGAGATTCGAAGGTTTGCAGTGTGGGTAACAGATTATAGATGATAGGATGTACAAAAAGGATACAAGTAATTTCAGTAGAGTGCAGCATTCACAAACGTATGGAATGTGTACTAAAGTACCTAAATCATTTTGCGCTTAAATTATTTAAATTTTCTCAAAACATTACCCAACGTAGTTCCCAACTTTTGCTTGCACCCAACAGTTCTAGGAGAGATCAACGTCAACTGATCTAGTTCAAGCACTGCATCTGCGCCCGTTGGTTGAGTAATTGAAGTAATCATGCGGAGCAACAGAAAGAACCCCGAAAAACAGGCGTCTACCCTAACAGGATTTAAATAGCGTTGGTATAGAATTTAGCATATGGGTATTTCCATACGTCGAATACGGGACAGTCGTACGTTTCAATGTGATACAAAAAAGAAATACCATTTGTTTTCTTTAACTTTTTTGGGCCATTGTATAGCACATAATTAGCTCTATATTTAACCGAAAAATGAAAACAATCGAACTGCTTGGTCCTGAAATATAAGTATTTAAAGAGAGTGCCGTTACGTGACAAAAAAATGGAAATTGATTTTTTCTTTTCTTACAAAACCGCAAAACTCTGCGAATTGTGGATGGCTATTTTCATGAAACTTATTTTAATACGACTTTGAGAAATTCCAGTTGCTTTTAGAGTTTTTTGAATTAATGCAACTTGTTTCAATTTTCTTTTACAACCCCAAGTGTGAAACGTCACGTGACGTGGGTCACGTGACATGAATTTCCATCGTTATATTTTTGTTAATATTGCTTTTAAATGAATTTTTAACGCAAATAAAACATGTATTTTATGTCGAATATACTTTATATTTTGACTTCAGCGCCAATTTAGGGTCAGTTTGTCGGAAATCTATGATTTATTATGTTTCAACTACATACGCCAAATTCGAACCAAATCGGACCATAAATACGGTTTTTCGAAATATCTCGACCTTGGCGCCACCTAGGAAGACCATTTTACGCAAACATGATTCTACTCACATAGCCAGCATATATTTAAAAAATCAGACAAATGGGCCCGTAAATACGTTAGATATAAGACTTTTTTTTTTTGTCGTGGTGGACCTTCCGATGGAAACACCCATATGAAATCACATCATCATTAGTTCTTGAGTGAATTGAGAAACTTAGCTCCCTGGTTAGGCACAATAACATCCAGTTAGGGAAAAAGAGGTTAATAGGCAGCTGACGTTCACACAAGAGAGGCGGCCGCCAACACTCCAGTTGGTACCGAAGCCTTCCTGGGAGTAGGTCACAATAATATTACGCAGGAGCTTAGGAGTGAGAGGAACACTCTGAGGATATAAACAATAAACAGTTTGGTAGGAATGCGCCCGACAAAGAATGTATGGGAATGTATAACTAGAGAAGATATCAAACCCTAGTTAATGTCCAAAAAAGAAAACACTGTAGACTAAGAGGACATCTGTATAAGCTGGGAATATGATCAAAAAAGCTTTGCTGGTTCTGCTACTCGACCAGATAAACACCACTACACATTCTCATCGAGTGAGATGCCGTCTTTCTGAGGGATCTGGGCTTAGAAGAAGCATTATGAAGAGAAGGGAACACAATAGATTAATAAGTCGCGGTGCACACGTCATTTAGTATCAGCAGATCGGAAGAGGTGGATGGGGAATGCCACAAGCAGACCAGGGAGCTAAAAACCTAAGATGCGGTAAAGAAGAGATCCAGTACTTCGAGGTGAAGCAGGTTCGACAGCTGTTCGCGAAAAGACTAAGATTCAACAGCCAAGAAGCTTCCAAGTCTTCTCAGTGTTGAAGACAGATTAAAATCAGGCTGCTTAGAATGACGAGTCCAGCACGTTATTGAATTATTTTGCGTACTGATAAAGCTTGGTGTGTTTTTTTTTTTGTCAAGCCAGATGTCGTTGCAAAACTTGCCGGTAACTAATTTTTTGCACTCTTAAAATTCGCATCCATGGAGTTCTTATATCTAAGCAGGGACACTGACTGATCAACGAACAAAAAAATGCATGTTTGTTTTAGTGTGCTCATTTCCAGGTCTACACTCTTCCATCAGCCCTTATCTCTTAGTTTAGCTATAACTCTCTGTACCAAAGAAGCTGTATGAAACAGAGAGGTTTTACTCAAATATATGCAGGCCTCAGAGCTAAATAGGTACAAAATGTGCAACTTTTTCCTTCCAACTGTCGAAATATGGATGTGAGAATAAAAAAATTCCTTGCCTCATAACATAGCCCGTAAAATTTTTTTGTTCACCGAAAAATAGTAGTCAATTTGTATAGATTTTCTTTCGCTGAAACCAAAAACCGTGGATTTCTTTTTAAAAGGCTTAAGGCAACTCCTCTATAACCTAAGTAAACGGGCAATAAGTGCGATTCAGTTGTCGGAAAGGTATAAGTAAAGTTTATGCGAGAAAGTAACCAGAGTTTTAGAAAAACAGGAGCAATAACGATACATATTTTTTTTTCGTTCCAAAGTTTTTCA